AAGAAGACTGAATGAAAGCATGAACTTTTTTTTTTCTTTTTGAGTTGAGGTCTCACTTTGTTGCCCAGACTGGAGTGCCATGGCACACTCCAGTCACTGCAGTCTTGACCTGCTGGGCTCCAGCGATTCTTCCGCATCGGCTTTCCAAGTAGCCAGAGCATACCGGCGCGTGCCACCACGCCCAGCTAATTTTTGATTTATTGTAGAGACGATGTCTCACCAAGTTGCCTGGGCTGGTCTCGAACACTCGTCTCGGCCTCCCAAAGCTGGGATTACCGGCTGAGCCACCGAGCCCGGTGAAAGTATGAACTTTTAACACATACATACATTCAACAGAGTGTCTAAATCTTTTTTTGATCAGTCTCAGAGTTTCCTCTGTATGTCTGAATAAGGCTGGGAGTGAGGGAAATTGTGTCTGAATTCTGAGTGTTGTATATGAGGTAAGCAAAAATTCCTAGAGCAATAACTGTTTTATGTACCACACAAACCTTGTGTATGATGACTCGAGTTTGGTAGCACGTGGCCAGCAAGGATCTGCTGTGTACAGATAATTTTACATGCATTTTAAGATATGAGTGGTTTTACTCATTTGCTTACATATCTCTGAGATTGTGCAGCTCTTACTTCATAGAACAACCAATTGATAAATTATTTGATTGTTGGAGACCTGCTCCAGTGGGGTCGGGCCCGAATGGGAGGTGAGAGAAGCGGCGATAGACAGAGACCACACATCTTCGATGAGGATGGCAATCACTACAAAACTTTATTGCTCATGAGGCTATATTTATAATGCTCTTTTTGGCATAATCTTAACCTTACAGGTATATTTTTCCTACTAGTTACAATTTAAAACAACATGTGCTATCCAAAACCCCTTCAGTTGATTTTTAATCTTTAATGATTTAAACAAAAATGTCTATTATTTATGAAAACCTTTAACTCTATATTGCTTATGCATCTATTTAATATTTTACAACTATAGCAGCAAATATTGGCTTATGCCCCTAAGGTGTGAAACCTGCTGACGTAAGGCAAGTCTTTTTTACTTCCTTTAAGGGATGTTTCTTAACTTCTCTATTCCATCTTAACTTCTCTATTCTATCTTATAAATCTTATTCTATACTTTAACTCTATTTAAATTTTTATATCTATAATTTTTTCTATTTCTATTATTTATCCTACTTATACTTTATATCATCTATGATTTATATACTATCAATTAACCAACACCATATCTTGTGTCCTGCTTCACACATACTTTCTTTTTCTGTTCCCACAGGATTTTAGCCTTTTCAGACATAATCAGAGGTTCACTATGCTTTATCTGCTCCCAGGTGGAAACCTCACTGGCTCTGATCCTGCATCCATTTATCCAAAACCATCTAGCAAAATTCTTATCATAAACACCAGTATATGGTAAAAATGGGTCAAACCTATCTAAATTCTGCATACTACTTTTCCCTCTAAGCGCCCACCATATTCTATCATTAATTTTATATCCAACATACTTATCGATTTTCACTATAAAAATAACTTGTCTATTTGATTTAATATCTCTAATGCTTCTGTGAGGAAAAGGTGGAATAGTGAAACTATTCTCTACAAAATAATTAAACTGTTTAATATTTCTCTAGAATGGCCTGTCCTGCTGTGTTCAGTTCTGGAAAATATTTCTTTATGTTCTCATACAAGGGTGAAACAAGTATTGTCTCAACTGGGCGGGGGAGAGAAGCAGAAATCTGCCTTATTTTGGTTAGAGGATTGTTTAAAAGAAGATCATTAACTAATGACCTTTGGACGTCATGTCTAGTTTCGGTTGATCCATAGAATTGGGTTTCATTCAAAACAGAGTGTTTAACAGATAAAATTTTAACAAACATCCGGGATAAACATATCATGAAACTTAATGCCAGGAGGAGCATACATTGTTGTTTTTTCGAGGGCCATCTGAAGTCCCTCTGCCTTCCCTTCCATGGGGCTCTGCCAATTCCATGGTTTTCACCAGTGGCTCTGCCTGCCTGGTGAAGTGGGTATGCTTCAGGCAGCTTCAGAACTGGCACCTGTAAGATTATGGCTCCTGACATTTGATTAATGTTTACTGGGCTAAATCTTATTTTGCACAGCAGAGAGCAAAAAACGGACATGAGTGCTAATTCTCTAGAGCTTCCAATACATCTCATGGGAAATCAGTATGTAATAAGTAGCACAAATAAAAAAGAGCACACTGTGATGAAAATATCTTAGTTGATGGGGACCAGCAACTAAGAAATGGAATAATCTAGATGAGGGGGGTAGTATTAGAAAAATCTTCTTGATGTAGTATCATTTGAACTTAAATGTAAATGAAAAGAGTTTCTATACAAATACTTGGAGTGGATCCTTCTGAGCAGAGAGAAGATCATGGGCAAAGATTCTGAGACAATACTCAATTTATTTTGAGGAAGAGAAAGATAGTGGAGGCAAGAGTGGACTGGATAGCGGAGAAAATAGTAGAAAGAAGTGGAGGCAACAGTGATCTGAGAAGTATTAGGAGTAGTAGAGAGACTAGGTCTCATAGGGCTTTTGACCATGATAAATTATTTTAACCCTACCTTTGGATGAGTGAGAGACCACCAGCATTTTTGTTTTGTTTTTGTTTTTATCAATGGTTTATATGATCTAGTAGATGTTTGTGAAAGTGCCATTTGGTTTATCTGGGGAGAATATATTTTCAGAGGGTGAAAACAAAAACAGTGATATCAGCTAGCCAAGTATTACAATGACCAGGGAATATAAATATTATAAATCAAGACTATAGCAATGTACAAGTGAAGAATGGCTAGGTCCTGAACATGTTTTAGGTGGAAATGATAGAAGTTGAGGAAAGATTTATGAAGAAAGGAAAGGGAAGGAAAGCAAGAAATCAATAATGACTCCTAAGAGTTTTCCTAAGCTGTTGTGCTATTGGTGGAGTAACATTATGATATTAAGAGAAAACAGAGAGAGAACAGATTTGGGGAGAAAATCAAGTATTTTGTTGAAATAATTCTTATTTTGAGACTAAACATCCTAATGGAGACATCAAGTTGTATACATAAATTTGGGCACTCGTGAGTGGCAGGAATTAGAGTGGCAAATGTTAAGCTCAAATAGTAAGAAAAAAATTGACACAGTCCTCACTTTAGGGTACTTAGAATTTAGTCTGTGACAGAGATATTAGTCAAATATTTAGCTAATAAATATCAAGTTATAGATTGAATACATTGTTTAAAAATAAGATATGATACCACACACACTTATATATACACACACATATATATTCATATATACACATATACATACATATATATGGCATAGTCTATCTTACATAAGGGGATTCTCAAAAAGAGATGATTTATTTGTAAAGAAAAAATACAAGTTTGGCTTATGAAAGAGAGGAAGAAGTAGAGGAGAAGATAATGAATATCTTAGGCAGATAGAACATCTGGAGAAAAATTGTGTGAAAAAAGAGAAGCAAAATTTGGAAAAATGAAAAAAGATAGTGCTCAAAAGACAGATAAATTTTTCTGCACTGAGCAAATAAGCTCCATTCAATGGTAGAAATGTATCAAAAATAATAAACCAAGTTGTTCAATGCTGAGAAGGACTCAAGACAAGAAACCACAATGGATAGACTCCTAGAAGAGGTCAAGTCAGTAATAGAATGCCGGAGTTCTGCTACTGCAGAGTCCAGAGATTCTCAAAGGTGGAGATGGCGTCGGCGACTGTGAGAAAGAGAAAGAGAGAAAAAGAGGGGGGAGAGAGAGAGAGAGAGAGAGAGAGAGAGAGAGAGAGAGAGAGAGAGAGAGAGAGAGAGAGAGAGAGAAACTGGACACCTGTTTCGAGAATGTAGATGCATTTACTGCGAGCTAGTAGTGAGCTTATATTTCTCTCTATCTACAAGGGAAGTAATCTCTGCAAGTTGCTGCCACAGAGCAAGTTAAAAATCATCATTACAAAACATATCGCTTACAACAAATTACATGGATTTTTTTGTGATTTTAAAACAATGCTTAAGTTTAAGTATTCTTCTCCATGCTTGGCTAATGTTCTTTCTAAGGGAGGAGACTATTTCCACCCAACACAATGATGTTACCCTGTCAAAAACAGTTCCCGCAACCCGTTAATATAAAATCTTAAAATTATAAAGCTTCTCATTAAACAACTCTACTTAAAACAAAACTTATATCTCAAATTAACTAATATATATTATAATCTTTCTAACAAATCTAACTCTTTATAAACTTAACTTCCTTATTCAAATTATCCAGGGAAACAGGTTTTTCCATGATAAAGTCTCTGGGGGCCAGAACAAGAGTTTCTGGCCCAGGGATTTGGAGCAGTTCATATGTAGAATATTTCCATCTGACAGAAGAATGTACACCTGGAGATCCTCTAGAAGTGCCTGTGCAGATGTTTCTTTTTTCATAGACAACGAGTTTCTTCTTAAAAACTCTCTGGTCTTTCAAGCCTCTTGGTAGTTTCCTCTTGTTCAAATTCCTTTATTGTTTTCCTATCTGGAACATCCTATCTCTAAGGAAAAAACAGCTTAGAAGAAACTTCTAGTGATGTTATTCAGGCTTCAAGGTAGTTTCGGTTGTTACATAAAACCTGCTTTACTCACTTATATTCTACATCTAAACCCTTTAACTTTTTATATACTATAACTTTAATATGTATCTCAAAACAAACTTATAAATCACCTACATATACCTTAATATCAACTTTCACTACACTTAAATCTTATGCCTTGTATTCAAACACCATAACTACAACTACAAATAATAAGTAAAAATATTCAAAACAATTCTTTGCCTAAACAAAATCAGAAACCTCTTTTTACCAGGTATTAGTCACAAATCCTAACCCTAAAAATAAGATCTGTAACCCATGACCAAGTGAAAGAAAGCCCTTTAAACATGCCTCAAAGTCATCACATGGGCAAAAGGGACAGGTCAAACAACGTAGTGGGAAGTGGAAAGATGGACAATGAGTTTCCAGTAGCCTGTGGCCCAGGGTCACCAGGACCCTGTCAATCTGGTGGGCCTCCAAGGTTGGCTCCCAACAATAGAAGATACATTGAAAAGAAAATTAACCTGAGGAACTGGGTGGTGAGGCTAGTTAAGAAGGATGAAGACAAGGTCACAAAAGGAAGCCAGAAGCTAAACTTACTTTAATATGCTAAAATTATTCAATCAAACATGGAAATGAGTGTGGACTTTTAATACCTGTCTCCTTATCAGAGCCTTCAAATCTTCTGTGATGATTCTTAGGGCTATAACTTAAATCAGAAGAATATTATAAAAAATATACCAACAATTGATTCTGCTGCAATAAGGCTTGAAATTATAAGTTTAGCTATTCAAACCTGACCTTCTGATCTATAGAATGGTAGATTCTAAGGAAGAAAACACAGTTAGAAAGTACATTGAATAAATTTATATTAAATAATTGATTTATCAACTTGATGAGTAGGAAGTGGGGAACACTGAACTGCCACCAGAGGTTCAGGTCTTCAGTCTCAGTCTCTACACCACAAAGGCACAGATGAAAATATCACTTGGCGAGACCTCATCTCTACAATAAATCAAAAATGAGCCGGGCCTGGTAGCGCTCGCCTGTAGTTCCAGCCACTTGGAAGGCTGAGGTGGAAGGATCGCCGGAACCCACCAGGTCAAGGCTGCGGTGGCCGGAAGCGGCCACTGCACTCCAGTCTGGGCGACAGAGTGAGACTCCAACTCAAAAAAAAAAAAAAAGAAAAGAAAATATCTCAAGGGGATCAAAGCTCCTATGAGAAATCATTCACCAAAGTCCTTATGCATAAATATGCCCCACTGTCTAGCATCAAGGAAGAAAAAGTATTTTCTGACTCTGTCATCTGAAGTGGGAAAGAACAAGAATATCTTCACTACATACCATTTAGAGAAAAAATACACTAGGAGACTGCACAAGATAGAACATGATAGGTACAAAGTGACTACTTGAATTGATTTGTATTACTTAAAGCCCAAAGACTACTCTCCAATCCAAATGCTTAATTATTTGAAGGGAAAAAATAATAATTTTTGAGACCTTTAGCTCTTTGTTAGTATAAAATTTTCACCACTATCCTTGGAAAAATGTCTTATGCTATATATTTAATGAACTGCCTATACTTACTCTTCTCTTCCTTATTTGTTTTTAACATGTGGTTTCTAAGGATATCTCCACATCCTGCCAGTGAATGAATAATGACTCAAATAGCATCAGAAGAATACTATGTTCTCAAAGACAGCAGATAGTTTGCCTCTAAAGTAAAGAATTGCAAAGCTATGTTTTTTAATCAGTATGCTTTTGAGATAATTTTTTTGTACTTAGAAATTTCATCTCATTCACCCAAAATTGAAACATTTCTTTTACAAAATATTCTCTTGGTATTTCAGATCCAGAGTGATTACTTCAGTAAGCCCTAGCATGAATTCTTCCTTCTTCCTCCTCACTGGATTTTCTGGTCTGGAGCAGCACTACCCCCGGTTCTCCATCCCCTTCTCCTCTATCTATGCCATCGTGCTTGTGGGCAATTGCATGGTGCTCCATGTGATCTGGACCGAGTCAAGCCTGCACCAGCCCATGTTCTACTTTCTGGCCATGCTGGCCCTCACCGACTTGTGCATAGGGCTGTCCACCATGCACACGGTGCTGGGGATCCTGTGGGGGCTCATTCAGGAGATCAGCCTGGATTCCTGCATTGCCCAGTCCTACTTTATCCATGGTCTGTCCTTCATGGAATCCTCTGTTCTCCTCGCTATGGCCTTTGACCGCTACGTCGCCATCTGCAATCCACTGCATTATTCCTCCATCCTGACTAACTCCAGAATTATCAAAATTGGGCTCACCATATTAGGTAGGAGTTTCTTCTTTATTACACCCCCCCATCATCCGTCTGAAGTTCTTCCATTATTGTCATCCCCACGTCCTCTCTCACTCTTTCTGCCTGCATCAGGATCTTCTCCGCCTAGTCTGTTCAGACATTCGGTTCAATAGCTACTATGCCCTGATGCTAGTCATTTGCACACTGTTGTTGGATGCTGTACTCATTCTCTTATCCTATGTCCTGATTCTTAAGTCAGTCCTGGCAATTGCCTCTCAGGAGGAGCGGCATAAGTCATTTCAGACCTGCATCTCCCACATCTGTGCCGTCGTTGTATTCTACTTTCCCATCATTAGCCTCACAATGGTGCATCGTTTTGGCAAGCACCTCTCTCCTGTAGTCCATGTTCTCATGGGCAACATCTACATTCTTTTCCCACCTTTGATGAACCCCATCATCTACAGTGTCAAGACCCAGCAGATTCGTACCAGAATGCTCAGACTCTTTTCTCTGAAAGAATACTGGTCTTAGAAAAAAGAAGCAACGGTAACAAAAATCAGTTCAAAAAATTATAAATTTTATTATAATTAGAGCTTTAGCCCTGAGTCTGTGATCACTGACTTTAAAACAAATTTTAAATGCAGTCAGAAAATGATTTACAAATAAGTTCTTTCTAACCTTTATTCTGGAAGTAAGCTGCTTTTAGAGCTAGAGGTAGGAAGACTTTAATGGAAATATTCCATAACATTTTGAAGAATTGTTGATTTATGACAACTTGGACATCGGTAGGTCACCATCTGTATGACTGTATTTAAGAAAGGAAAAAAATTAAAGTGCCCCAAATGTACTCTCAAGCATTTTTTTTTTCACAGTAAAACTGAACTAGATTAAAAGTTTAGGTCTTCAAGTTTCAAAGTAGATAGTTCCAAGGTTTAGCTAATTAATCTGCAAAATGGAGACAATATCCAGCTAACAGGAATGTTGTGACAAATGTATGGACCATAATTGTTCAGTGGAACTTTTCTAAAATGTTGGAGATGTTCTATAATATACCATAATAAAGAGCAAGATAGGAAATATAATTTCTGGGTGCTTGAAATGTTGGTAGTATAATTGAACAACTTTATTTTTAATTTTAGCTCATTTAATTTATATTTAAATATTGAAGACCATTGTATCAAACACTTCAGTGGCTACTGTACTGGACAGGAAACTACAGTGTATCAAGAAGACACATAAGAACTACATACTGGTTTCAAATTTTCCCATGTCTATTTCAAATTGGAATCTTTACTTTTTTGATTTTATACATGGACTCCACAGTCACAAGGCTGGTAGTAAACTTTTCTCTGGATCTTTTGCTTTTATCTCTTAAGGGAAGGATGTTATGAATGGATGCAACAGTCGGTTTATGAATGATTGTGCTTTCAAAAAAGATAAGAGAACATGAAGAGATTCCCTTTGAGTAAGCTAGTCCAGTTTTCAGGAGAAAAAACAGAAAGGAAGGACATCAGGTAGGAATCTATATGCAGAAATAAAAAAGATAATTGTTTTAATCTTTTGGGTATTTGAGGAGGTAAGTGTTAATACTTGACAGATTAATGTATCAAAGTAATTTTGTACCAAAAGCAAATATTTATTAATATTTTTAGCTATCAACCAAAATTTGACTAGGTTTTTCTTCCTGTATTTATGCCTCCTTCCCCCCACCCTTTTTTTGCAAGTCATTCAATTAAGTAGGATCTACATACTTACTTGACTTAGAGGAAAGCAAAAATACAGGCTTGGGTTTCTAATAGCTTAAGCCTCAAAGCACAGAAATAGTTCTTGGACAAAATAAAGTTTCTTAATTAGAAAGATGCATGTAAAATTATCTCTAGAACAATAAAATAGGTATGGGTTAGAGTACATGACTGATTTTAAGACCAGTGGAGTGAATTTACTGATATCAAAGGAGATCTAGTCTACTTTCTGTTATAACTACCAGTGCTAAAGACTGTGAGGTAGGTTCTAGAATAGGGAATGAAAGATGCCTGTCTTTTAATTGCTCGTTTCAATGTAATTAATTATTTTTCCACATAATGATAGCGATCATTCATTAAGTTGATACAAATTTCAGGTGCTAGGTCCTGTACTAGTTTCTCGGACAATAATAAATATCTGTATAGCTCATCCTGGCAGATTGAAACAAGACTAATCTGACAAGATTTCCATGGCCCACTTTTGTAACAAAAACAGAACTTAGCTGCTGAATCTGCAGATATCATGTAGGTGTCTCATAGGTAATCACTGGGCACATTTTCAAACACCAGAGAAGCTTCCTTTCAAATCCTTGAGACTGAATGAGTATCCAGCTCTAGAGCTGAGGCAATGCTGGGGAGCAGGGAGCTTTCCATAACTAACAATATGCATCCTACCAACTAGTGACATGAAAATGAACTTATATTGAATTATGTGAACAGCATTGCATTGCATGCTTTATACATCCAAAGAATGGATCTGGGAGTCACGTTTAAAAAGGAGACACTAGGGTCTGTACCTCATATAGCAACCTATAAAGTACAAATCAGAATAGTTTGGAACAAGGGCTATAAAAAAGGTATGAGAGAAATCAGTTGTGTTCTCAGAGATTATTGCTAATTTTAGAAATATATAATTGTACTATGATGATAAGACTTATTAAACACTTCAGAATGTTTTAAAATTTATGACCTAATAAAGGAGGAGCATTCAACAAAAGGAAAAAAGATTAATAAAAAAAACTGATGAAAGTAAACTTTATGATTACTGGGCTTTACAAAGAAAGTAGCAGATTTAGAATATTTGTAGTTTAGATGGTTTGCTTTGCGAAGGACTCTATCTTGGAGCAATAACTTAAAAATAAATAAATCTCTCCTAGATGGAAAAGACAGTTTTAGGGTCATCAATTAAGATGCTAAAATCAAAAGTAGATGGAGACTCACCACAGTTGTTAAAACACTGTTTGGCACTACATAGTTTATTTAGGAGCCAAGTAGAGATATTCTTCTATAGATCTTAGAGAGTCAACTTCTAAGGAAACATGTTTTTCATGAATTATGCAGTCTCTGGAACTATTGTTGATGTGGTAACCTACAGGGTCAGTGGAAGGTAATTACCTTGTGGGAGTGGACCAGATTTGCTGTAAGATCAGCAAGGTTACTATTTGAGTGGGAGGCAATATTAAAATAGCCATGGTGATTTTAAGGAAGCACCATCCTCTTCTTTTTGCTTTTCTTATATGTAGACTGCCATGTTATTATATATCTCTCCCTTAAATGGAGTCAGAGCTATAAGGAGAAAACTAAGGCATGCTGCTTGGAATTAAGTGACAAAAGTAGGATTCAGAAAATCAGAAAATCTAGTTGATTCAGTTGCTAGTAATTTTACTCTTACACCAAAAAGGTAAGGTCCAGAGACTGGGAGAAATCAGTGATTCTTAGACATGAGAGGACAATCTAGGAATTAAGAATGTGATTTTTATACAAATGATCTGTGGATAATAAATCCACAGGCGGATGCCCCTCTACACTATACCTCCCTATTGTCCTAGGACTATCAAAATCTTATTGTTCAAAATAAAAGATGTTCTACCTGAGGCTGTGTTTCTGGTCCCTAGGATATTTGTGACCACTACTTGAAGAAGGGAGAAGTTGCTAGAGTTATGAATAGAGACTTCTAGATGAGAGAAATAAAAAGATGCCAGTTTTCTAGGAAGACACCTGAAGAAACTTTTAAAAATCCAGCAAGAACACTTCTGCAGTGAAAGTTGATTTCCAAAAGCTTTTCTGATGAAAGTGTGGTTTCTGGTCCTGCGATCTCAGAACCATGTGAGTGAACATAGGAAATGCAGATTCTCAGACTCTACTCCTGTCCTACTGAATCAGAATTTGTGTTTCGTTTTTTCAGTTCTTGTAGTGTTCTATTTCTTGAGCTGAGTGCTCATTAAAAGTTTTTGCTAATTTTGTGTCAATTTATCAAGCTGTATTGTTATACATGTATCTTTGTGTCCTTAATTTAATAACAGCATACAAATTTAAGGAGTATGAGTGCAAGTGTCAATGTATATGTAAACCTGGCACACTGAATACATGTGTTTACTTCTGCTGTTTTTTAAACTCCACCAAAAGAACAGATGCACAGAGACATTGTAAGATGAAATAATAGTAGTGTGTATATAAACACTTATATAAATGTGTATATTTTAAGGTGATATTTCTAAAAACCAAAGCAGGGTGGATTAATCTGAAATCTATATGCTTACAGAAGAGGATACCAATGAGAAGAAATATTATCTGTACAGAACATTTTCTTCGGGAAAGTACAGAAATTACTTATAAGGCATATAGAGATGGGGATGAAATTGCAGAAAAGGTGAACATGTGCCTAAAATAGTCAAGCCTTCTCTTTGTTGGTTCTGGCAAAACAGTTAGTGTCTGTAGTAACCGAATTAAGGATGAACCAGCATGGGAACATTAGATATTAGATACAAAGGATGCTTAGAGTGAGGTGCAATATATGAAATAGATCTCATGTAAAAGAATACATGTTGAATGTTGGGGCCCATGGAAAAATTTCCCCTGTTCATCCCCTAAAATGCTGATAATCACACTTATATTTCACAGTTAGGTGACAGTAGAATTATTCTTTGTAAAACCTTACTGAAGATAAAAGTCTAACAGAGATTGATATTTGAGTATTCACACACTGTACTGACTGGAGACCTTTCTGATAAGTCTTTATAGTAACAGATTAGATTTTTAAAAATCACACCATGTTCATAGAAGATTCTAGATTCTTAGAGCCTCAACATGAAATATGGATGAACAGCCAAAGATGATCAGGAATATGATTAAATCCACCAACACAAATATTACCACCCAGAATACATTTTAATAAAGACAATTTACTTTGGGGAACAAAGCTTATTCAGGGCAAAGAATAAAATGTAAAAAGAAAACAAGTCTACAATTAATATTTTCAATAATATAATTTTTCATTATAAATCCTTTATATAAGAACAGGGTAGTATTAATATAAATAACTACAGAACATGATAAAAAATTGTAAATTACAAAAATATAAAAGGTAAAATAAAGGACAATAGAAGAGTCAGGAGATAATATTAATAAAATAAAAGAAAAACATACAAGAAATGAATATAGGGGATTTGGAGAGAAAAAAAAAAAAAAAACCCAGGGTCAATCCAGAAACCTCAATATCTTATAGTAGTTCTAGAAAGGTAGAAAATAGAACACATAGGCACCAAGTACCCAGCACAAAAAATTAAATTAAATCAAGTTTCATAATAAATTACAAGCATGAAAAGATAAGCCACAGATTGAGAACATATAAAATATACAAGAACTTATAAAATTTAACCATAAAAAGCAATCTAATTAAGAAGTGGGTAAAAAATCTGAAACTATATTTTATCAAAGAGGATATACAGATTGCAATAAACATGTAAAAAGATGCCCAATATCATATGTCATTAAGAAATTACAACTTGA